TATATATATTAAGATAAGATAAACTATCCTATCTTTCAAGTTGGATGAAACTGTACACAGTGTACAAAATTTTATTAAAATCGGTTCAGTAGTTTAGAAGTCCATTGGGGACAAACAAATTATATATACATATATCTGTAAAAATACAGTATAAATGTAGTTTAGAATACATATAAAAACATAATAAAGAGAAGAAATTTTTGTTAATGATATATAATAATTAAATTTACAGATTGCATCGATAAAAATTTACAATCATATTATATTGAAGAAGTGGAACCAGAAAATATTCAAACTAAAGATGAAACTGACTGTGATTGTGTCATTGAAACATCTAACGATAATAAAATACGTTCACCGATATTTGGTACGTCTATTAAAATAAAATCTAATTTATTTATGAAATGTGAAGATTCCATGGAAAATAAAACCCATGGAACTACTAATGATACAACGATAAAAGATGATAATACGAATATTGAAGGAAAAGAACAAAGTGACGAAAATTCATCTTATTGATGAATTAATAATTATATCATTAAAAAATAATGAGTATGTATATTTATGTATTATTCAAAACTTACAAATTAATTGATAATATTTTGTGTAATCGCAATAATCTAAAATTAATTTTTTAATTAATAACCTATCTTTTTTTTTTTTGTTCGTGTAATCATCTTTTTGAGAATTTAAATGTCAATTTTGATAAAAAGAAAATCACATCAAGTATTGTATTTATTTATAATTGATGTATTATTCAAAATATTAAAAAGTCAACATTATCAAATAAAAGAATCTGTAAATATGCACACACACACATATATATATATATATATATATATATATATATATATATATATATAACTTACAAATTATATTATGTACATATTACATAACTCAACATTACATATAACACATTAATATATATACAGTAAAGAGCATAACTGAACCAATAACCACTACTTTTGTATAAATCTTAATTTATTGCTAAGAATGTAAATGAATATTAAAAAATGGACATTATAGTAAGTTTTTATTTCAGTTAGAAGTAACATTACTAATTTAATTATTTAATTAATTTAATAATTAAAACTTCAACTACAACCAGTGAACCAGATGTGACAAATCGTATAATTGTTCGTTCATCCTACGGTGATAATTTTTTGAGTCTTCCTCCTAACATTTAATAACATACTTTTACAGTATTTCTTTTTTTTTTTCCTATTTTTTGCAATGTCGACTAAATAACACTACAATTTTTCACTAAAATAACACTACAAAGAAATTACTTTTTTTTAAACAATTTGTAGCAATTGCCTTTATATTTGCTTTAATTTATTTGCGTACTTTTCTGTTCGACTGATTGCGAGAAATTGAATGCTTAGACATAAACGTAAACAAAAAATATATTTTGTAAACTATTTTGTAAACATATCAAACTGTTAGATGTAAAAATACTACTGAAACATTCCACGTAAACACATTTATTTTACAGACCGGTGAAAAACCGAGTCAATCCATTTTGTTTATAAGTGCTAAACGAGGAGACATTAATTATTGAAAAAATTAGTGATGTTACTTCTAACTGAAATAAAACTTACTGTAATGTACATTTTTTAAATATTCATTTACATACTTAGCAATAAATTAAGATTTATACAAAAGTAATGGTTAATTGGTTCAGTTATGCTCTTTATACTGTATATATTATAATAATAATAATAATAATAATAATATAAATATATTTTTATATTTGGAATTATAGCTAAAATGAAAAAAGATTTCGGAACTTTTTTAAAAAAAAAAGGTAAGAATATCAATGAATTAATGAATTAATTACAAATTAATTATATAATTAATATTTCGATATGAATATTTTAGATGAAGACAATTCATCAATTGATTCAAATGATGCAGATTTATCTCCAATATCGAAACAAACATGTTCTTTAATATAACAATTTAATATAATATTATTTTAACAATTATTGACAAAAAGAAATTTAATTTGAAAATAAACAGAACAACTTTTTCGTGACAAAATATCTAACGATAATCAAATTATTAATCAAACCAATTATTTATAATGAATCTAATATGTCCCATATACAATTAGATAATCAAATTATTCATTATAACAGAATGTGAAGATAAATTTCATTAAATGGGGTATGGTATATAATATTAAATAAATATAAGATATAATAATGACATATTACAAATATTCTAAATAGAAATAACATATGTTTCAGTTTGTATTAAACAATGGTTTTAATTATCATTAGATTGATAAGAAAATATTTTCTTTTCAAACATATATTTTTAATAACGATAGTACATTATTACTGAATAACTGTAATTTGTGACAAAGTAAATTTATATAAGTTAACGATATGTTAACATATTTTTACGCATATATACATATATACATGTGAACTATGTATTATTAATTTTGACATATATTGAATTGTTAAAAAAAAACTATCATTTTTACACACAATAGAAGATATATTTAATACAACAACATTTGTACAATATTTTTATTTAAACGCAAGATTGTATACAATTATTGAATAATTCAAACATGTTATTGTGTGGTATTTAAGTCCACCAAAAACTGACAGAAAAACTTGTTGTTAGTGCTGTTACATGATGCCACCATTTAGGTGGAATATATAACATTTCACCTGGTCCTAAATAACACATATAACCTTTGGCTTTTTTCAAATTTGGCCATTTTACGTAATCTGGTTTTAAAGGATCTACTTGTGCTGTATTATTAAGTAATTTTGTGTCGTAGGGATATAAATTTATGGAATCAGATGGATTATATAAAAATATTCTTTTATAACCGAATACCTGAACACACACACAAATATTATTTATATAATATATTAATAATAATAATAATAATAAATAGATATTACTTCGTACCTGACATAATAAATTATTTTTTATATCAAAATGTAATGGTGACACTGTTCCAGCTGGTCCAAACCATGCATTTATATCTGGTGGCTCAACTTCTACATCCTCTTTATCAGAAAACGAACAATAATCTGGTATAACGATATCATTTTGTAATTCTGGTATCTATTTTAATGAATAACAAATATAATAGAAGAATGTATATATATATATTATTTCATAAAGTTTGTGTTAGACGATATTTTCGTTTTTTTTTAAATAATACCTGATCAAAAAGCTGATGTTGAGCCAAATAAGCAACCTTTTGTGTACCCTTAATTATATGCGATTGTAAAAATTCTGAAAATGTAATTAAACTTTGACTCCAATCTTCTTCTGTATAACGTGATCCTATTTCAATAGGCACTGTACGACTTCCTGCGATTTTATTTAAATAATCAATATCTTGCCACAAATGTAAAGCATTCCAATGTTTCATAGAATCTAAAAGGAAAGATTATTGTTTTTTTTTTTTTTATATAAATATACTTATATATTATTTCTATTTTATTAATAATAAATAATTTACCTGTTATTATAACTGGAATTTTGGGTATAAAGATGTCTTTGTAAAATAATTCCATAGATGGTACCTTGTATCGATTAACTTGTACAAATTCAGGTAACAACGATTGAGAAACTTGACTATAATCAATTTCGATTTTTTGTACATTAAGTTTTCTCACAAATTCTAGAAAATAAAAAAATAAAAATAATACCTAATTCGATATAATGATTACTTTGATAAATAATTTATACTTACTATTATAATAATTATTTATTTTGGAAGCAATTGTTGTTAGTAATGATGGCTCATTAGGTAAAGGTGCACCTAATAATATACCTTTATCAATTTGTTGAATTATTTCTTGCAATACTTTGATCTCTGTATCTGATGATTTTTCTTTATTTTCATGTTTTTCTTCTATTTCTAACAGTATTACCTAAAAAAAAAATATATATATAAATATAAATATTAACAATTAATAAAATACATACATACATACATACGTATTGCTTTCTTTGATATATAAAACTTGATAAAAAAAAAAAAAAATAATTACAGTAATATTATCAAATCATTTTTCATAAATTTGTTTGTCTATACCTTTATGAGACTACAAAAAGAATAACTGTATCTGTAAGATATTGGAACATCTTTCCAATGTCCTGAATTTAATATTTGCCAGGTACGATCTAAACAAGCTTCTATTGTTATTAAAGATTTGTTTATCCATTTTGTCTCCACGCTTTAATCAAAAATACAAGAAGAAAAGCATTTTATATGTATTAACAGACAAGAGAATATTGATAAAATAATGTAATTATATATTTACAATTTGTTTAAATTAAATCCTCTTAATACATCAATAATAGATATTAAATGTACTTTTATTTCATTTGGCAAATATTTCAAATCTTCTTTCAATAATATCCAATCAATGAATTCATTGATTAACTGTACCTCGCAAGCCATCATCATTAATAATGTTTTATAAACAATTTCTGAAATTGACATAGGTTAAATAGGTTAATTAGAAATAATATTAATTGATGATAATAAATAAGTAGATTTAATTATGACAAGTAAAAACTTTGTCATACAATGATTTATTTACAAATGGCCATCTTACGATTATATGATCTACAAAATAATACAAAATAATTGCACTCAATGAAAATGTTTTAACTCGACAATAACTTTCTATAAATACGGTAGTTATGTTAAGAGTGTAGAATATTTTAAATACAAATGTTACAATACATAAAGGAACACATGTTCCTGGACCATTGCATAAAAGTAATTCTGGTTTTTCCGACCATAAAATAGATGTTGCTTCTAACGTTGCCATAAGTGTTGTCCATACAGAAGAAATATACGATTGTCCAACTTCTCTGCTTCTAGTGATTCTTATTATTTTATAATCATTTTGATTTTCTTCTATAACTTTTACTTTATCAATACTAATATTGTCAGTAGAAGCAGAAACATATATTCTAGGTGTATACATTTTATAATCCATTAATTTAACAATTCGCAACATTTCTGCTGTATGTCCTCCCGATCCTAATATTATCATAGTTTTAGCCGGTGTTACTCTCAATTTCTTCTTAGCACTTGTTTTCTTATCTTTCATTAATATTAAAAATACAATTCTTAATATAATGATCAAGGGACATACAATTAATATAATATGAATATACGTCAAGACCATTTTGTCCTTGCATTAATCTGAAATCAATTATATATAATATAATATCATTTCACAAAAATTATCATCACACAATTATAAATATTCCCAACAAAAAAAATCAAACCCTTCATCCATAGAATTAAGATGTCCAAATAATAATTGAACAAAAATTGTGTTTACTGGTGTACAATTCAAATGTAACAATATCGTGTTTATGATAATATAACAACAATCCCAAATGTTGACAAATTTATACACAAAATAATATACTTAAAAACTATTAATTAATAAATACAAAGAGAAGGACTGAAAAAAAATATGAAGAAAATAAAGAAGAAATGTCGGTAAAAAAAAAAAAAATCATAATTATTGGACATACATATGTTATCACCCAAAATTATATTTCGTTGATACGCTCCTGTGTAATCTCGGCACCTGCGCATGCTTAATCTGTCTTTCGGTCACGTGACATTCCCCTCCACTTCTCCCCGCGCCATTAACGGTTTTGAATTCTCGGAATTCCTCATCCATGAGGAGGCACTTCGACGTTGTTGGGTGCAACGAAAAGAGGGGAGATTACTTATTGATGAGATTCTCGTGTGTGGCCGGTCCCCGCTTCGTTATATTCGTTTATAAATATATCGTGGGGGTAGATTGCATTATCAATTTAAATATTATTTCGTAAATCATCTACGAGAAAAGGGTGGACAGTGATACGTGAAGTGAACATCCTGGAGGCTCGTATTTTTGGACCAGCAGTAGGTGAATAAAACGCATTCTATTAAGCACCAAGGAAACCTTCCTTTTCTCTCTCTCTCTCTCTCTTTCTCACTCACTCACTCACTCACTCTTTCACTCATTCTATCTGTCTCTCTCTTTCTTTCTTCCTTTCCCTCTCTTTCTCTCTCTCTCTCTCTCTCTTTCCGCTTATCTATTTACGCGTTATCGTTATACGTCATTCTGTACGCTCTTAAGATCCGAAATTATCATTAAGTATTGATATCTTTCTTCTTCGTCTGTTAAAAATGATATTATATGTATAATATTTTAATGGAAAATAATTCTTCATTGCGATAATCGAAAAATTTCGATAATTTGTTTGTGCCAAGTGAAGAGAGTGTCTATCGATATACGAAAAGGTAATTCGATATGTTTAGAGAGACATATACGAAGTTTTTTCTTTCGATAAATGTGTGAGCGCCTTGAAGTTATTCTTTCGTTCATTTTCTTCTTATTTTTTTTTTTAAATTTTAAGCATACATTTTATTTAAACATTTTTTCTGAGTATGTAGTATTTTGTATAATATATATATGTATATATATATATATATACATATTAGTATTTATTTTATTTTGATAAAATTTAAAATACATTTATAATATCGTAGTTAAGTTAGATTGATATGTGTATTGAACATTTCTCAAAGAGGTTAGGTTTTGTTAGATCTTTGTGATCATCGATCGATGATGAGGGTTATCTTTGGGTAAAAGTATTTATATAACTTGTTTTATATTTGGAATACCATATTTTATGTCGTAACAATGGCGCTTCTCAAATAATAACTCGTTAACATTTTTATTTTTATACAAATAATTTATTTGATGAAATATATATATATATATTTAATATATTATTTTGAATATATTAATATTATTTTGTTTTATTAGGGTCCTGAGAGCTACGAGTCCAAATTACTGCTTCCAGAATGGCCCTGTGGACCAAAGCACAGCAATTACCACAGGAAGCACTGCAACAAGTGCGTTCTGTTTATGGTGAACATTTTCCTATTGAAGTACGACACTTTCTTTCGTCATGGATCGAAGAAAAAATGTGGTAAGATGTGGTATCAAAGAATTATTAAATATTCTTCTTTTTTTTTTTTTTGTTTTTTGGTTTCTCTTTTTCACTTTTTCATTTTACAGGAACGATATAGAACCTGATAATCCGCAATATGAACAATATATAGCTAATCTAGTTGGTTCTTTAATACAAGAATTAGAAGTTAAAGCGAGTACTTTAAACAACGAAGATTTATTTTTAACTAAAATCAAACTCATGGAAGCTGCTAAAATGTTCAGAGTAAATATATACATTGAATATATATTTTCTTTTTTTTTTTTTTTTTTTTAATTTATTATGTGTGTATATTAGTTTGAAGTTTTTTTTTTACAAAAATATATATATATATATATATAATTATCCTTACATTATTTCTTATTTATTTGTTGTAACAGCATAGATACACCGATAATCCTATCACCCTTTTTAAAATAATTAGACATTGCTTAGGAACAGAAATGAAACTTGTCGCTCAACTGGATAATATAGGAAACATTATGACAGTGAGTGCAAGTCGGGTTGGTTTAATGGTAGGAGACTCTGTCGCAGAAATAGCACAACAAGTTGAAGTTATAAGACGTAAAACGCAAGAAAGTGGAGAAGAATTGCGTAAAATGGAACAGGAACAGGAGGCCTTTGCTATTAGTTACCATGAATGCACAAAAATAAATGCACATTTGCAACATCTTGCCACACAACCGAAAAATCAACAAATTAGTGATTTGGAAATGAAAATAAGACGGTATTATTATTATTAATTCAAATGATATTATTTAAATTCAATAGATCACTTTTTATTTATGTACTTTAATATTTATTTATTTATTTTTCAGGCAAAAAGAAACTCAAGATCAATTGTTGAATCAAAAAGCTACGGGTTTAATGCAATTACGCTTATCACTGGCAGATAAATTGAAAGATACTATTGCCAGATTAAATACATTACAATCGAGAGTTCTCGATGACGAATTGATCAGGTATAAATTATATATTGAAAATTGATAAATACAAATTATTATAATAATAATATAATTTATAATTTATAAATAAATTAGGTGGAAGAGGGATCAACAATTAGCTGGAAATGGTGCACCATTTAACAGTAATTTAGATTCCATTCAAGAATGGTGCGAAAGTCTTGCAGAATTAATATGGCATAATCGACAACAAATCAAAGAAGCTGAACTCTTGAAGCAAAAATTTGGCCTGGATCCACCAGGAATACAAGATATTCTTCCCACTTTAAATTCACAGATCACGCAACTTCTTAGTTCCTTAGTTACTAGTACATTTATCATAGAAAAACAACCGCCGCAAGTTATGAAAACTAATACACGTTTTACAAGTACAGTACGTCTCTTAGTTGGAGGAAAATTAAATGTTCATATGACACCGCCTCAAGTAAAAGTAAGCATTATTAGTGAAAGTCAAGCAAATGTTCAATTGAAAAATGGAAAAATGGCCAAGTGTGGAGAAGTTAGCGGTGAAATTTTAAATAACAGTGGAACGATGGAATATCATCAAGTAAGTATAAATAATAATAATAATATAGGTGTTGTATTATCTTTATATTTTTTAATCAATAAAAATAGATTTGTGTATAAACTCTGTGCTTTCATTTTAGGCCACACGACAATTATCAGTGAGTTATCGAAATATGCAATTGAAAAAAATTAAAAGAGCCGAAAAGAAGGGTACTGAATCAGTTATGGATGAAAAATTTTCACTTCTATTTCAATCTCAATTTAGTGTTGGTGGGGGTGAATTAGTATTTCAAGTGTGGACATTGAGCTTACCAGTCGTAGTAATTGTACATGGAAATCAAGAACCTCATGCATGGGCTACAGTTACATGGGACAATGCTTTTGCAGAACCTGGAAGAATTCCTTTTGTTGTACCTGACAAAGTACCATGGGGACAAGTAGCAGAAGCATTAAACGTTAAATTCAGATCAGCTACTGGAAGATCTTTAACAGAGGATAATCTTCATTTTCTTGCGGAAAAAGCATTTAGAGGTGGTAATCCAGGTGGTCAAGAATATTCCAATTTACTTCTTAGTTGGGCCCAATTTTGTAAGGAACCCTTGCCAGAAAGAAACTTTACATTTTGGGAATGGTTTTATGCTGTTATGAAATTAACTAGAGAACATTTGAGGAGTCCTTGGATAGACGGATTCATTCTTGGATTTGTTAGAAAAAAACAAGCTGAAGAAATGTTAGCTAACTGTGCATCGGGGACTTTCTTAATGCGTTTCTCTGATTCAGAACTTGGTGGAGTTACCATTGCTTGGGTTGGAGGTATAAAATACATTATAATATTAATAATATATAAAAGACATTTTTTACACAAATTTATAATTAATTTTCTCCTTTTTTTTGTATCCTAGATCAAACAGAAGTTTTTATGCTTCAACCATTTACAAGCAAGGACTTTGCTATTCGTAGTTTAGCAGATCGTGTCTCTGATTTGCAGCATCTTTTATATCTGTATCCTGATATACCGAAAGATCATGCTTTCTCTAAATACTATACACCAGAAAACCGATCAACATCGGCTAATGGATATGTTAAGCCTTTGTTAGTAACACACGTACCTGGATGGGGTGGTCCAGTTGTAGGAAGTCAAACACCTTCACATTCTTCAGTGGTCGGTATTAGTAGTAATAATGGTCAAAGTTGTCCAAGTGGAAGTTATCCTGCTACACCTTCTACTATATTCCAAGCACACAGCCCAGATCCATCTGTAACACGTGATACTCCATCTGTTGCTTCCAGGTCAGTTTCTGGATATAGTATTTTTTAAATTCACACGAAAAGATATAATATTCGTTAATTATATACTGACATAGATATTTCATAGAAGATGTGCAAAGTTCAAATTTAACATTGAGACTGAATCTCTCGGATATTCTGATATTATCTTGAAAGAATATTAAAAAAAAAAAAAATAATTATTTAAGATTTATGAAGATAAATTAACTTTTCTACTATGCTTTTAAATGCATGAAAGAATATTTCAGATTATAAATATGAAATTAAAATCCGTCCTGTATATAAAATACACACGGTATTTATAATTAAAAAAAAAAGTTGATTCGAAATCTATTTAAAATTATATGAAAAAATTTATACTAGTTGTTCGATTAAAAAAAAAAAAAATAAATAAAAATAAAAAAAAGATAAATTTATAATGCAAGATCTCTAATCAAAATTTAATATAAATTGTTATTACATTTTTAATTATAAGTAAAATAAAATAATTACGTTTAATTTTATTTTATTTTAATTTTTTTTTTTTTATTTCATTCGATTTAGAATTTATATTTGTTTGTTTTTTTTGTTTTTATAGATTTTTAGTAAAAGATATTTACTTTTTTCATTTATTATGATTCAATTGAAAATGTAAAAAAAAAAAAAAAAAAATGAAATTTCGATAATTGAAGATTTTAAAAAACAAACTATTATTATATATTTATAAGAAAAATAA